CGCCCCGAGCCAGGCAAAAGCCTGCAGCCACTTGGCCGTCTCGGAAGGCAGAGCGTGGCCATCTGCTGTTACGAGATCCTCCCTTTCGGAGCTCACGCCTCTCACCCCAGGCAGCGCTTCCGAGGGCTATTTCGGTCTCTTGTGAGATTTCCATGCCCTTTATAGACTCAGTACCTCATCCATGGGCCAGGAGAGTGTTTGGGGCAGTGGGGGTGCGAGCCTGTGTCCGGGTTGTCGTGAGCCTGCCTCAGTTTGTCATTCGAGTCCTGCATTCCCCACGCCACGGCCTGAGCCGTGGGCCTGCCAGCCCGCCTGCGTTTCATCAGAGCAGTCAGCTCTCCAGCGCATCAGACCAGCCCACGTGTGCGGGGAGCGCCTGCTGGCGGATGCTCGCTTGTTCTCCGAATAGCCTGGTAATTTATTCCTTTCTCCACACCAGCCCATGGTCGTCACGGCTGCTGAGTCTCAGAGGTGGGGCGGGCAGAAGAATTAAGTCATCTACTCAGAGAAACTTAAGTTTTTGTGGTTGTGATTGTCGCTCCCGTTCTTCGGGGAAGGGAAGGCAATGTGTGGAGAATTGGCTGGAAGATGCTGCTGGGGGGAGAGAAGCTGGGGGAACGGTGGGAAGGCGCCGCCTCACTCCTGGGGGGAGGACGGAAGACTTGTTCTCTGTCTGAGACACGGTTGGCTTCCTGGGACAATTCCGGGTCCCTCCTTGTGCCCACCTGTCTGTAAAGGGAGGACGTGATGCCTCTCGTGGGTGTTGTGGGGATTAATTCATATTTATAAAGTGCTTGGAAGATAAGGAGTGCTGTCGAGCTGCTCAGCTGTCCGGCTCCTCCGGGAAAGGCTTGCGGGGCCGTGCACTGCTTGAGGGAGTGGGAAAGGCTGGCATGTGGCTTAGGAAGGGGCAGGGGACTGTGGCCAGGGCATCAGGGCATCCAGCCAGCTCCGAGGTGGTGCCTCCTCCAGTGCCTCCTGCAAAGACCCTCGGTGGGTGTTGGTGCCTGAGTGCAGATGGGAAAGAACACGAGTTCTCGGCTCCTTGAACTCCTCCCTCCGGCAGGAATCCTTGTTGGCTGGACCCTGTGAGCCGGCCCATTCACGAGTGTCCTGGTGTGTGGATTTTGTAATTGGAGTCACTTGTGATGGCATCAGAGACCCCCCAAGGGAGCCTTGGCTTTGCTGGGGCTAGTGACTGGAAGACCTTACTGCCCAGGTTTGCGGCGGCTTCTTGGCTCAGCCTGAGCCCTCTGGGGGAAGCCGAGGGCGGGCAGCATCAAGGCAACCCCGCGCCCACTGCCCCGCCGGGCCTTGGTGGTTGCAGGCTGAGGTGGTGTGTGGGGTCGGAGACCTGCTGCCTTCTACATTCCCGGCACTTTCCTCCCGGTGACCGTTAGTATGGGGAGAGTTCTGCAGCTCACCCGTCTCTGGGGCTGTGATGGGGAGGCTGTTTGTGACGGGTGGCCTTGGCTTGTCTCTGCAAGTGAGACAGTCAGCTGCCGCCCTGGGGAGAGCTTGCGTTTCTTAGGGCAAGATATGGTCAGCTGGGGCCATGGCACTCCTGGGAGGTGGCCAGGCATTCCTTGGGTCCCCAGAGCTCCTGGAGAACCTGACCCGGACCCTGTGAAGGGGGAGGAGAAAGAAATGGGGCTACAGGCAGACTACGGAATGCACCCCCAGATGGAGGCGGAAGATAACGCCCAATCCCACCTCCTGCCCTGGGCATTTGGCAGAGAGCCATTTGAAGCGGGCCTAGCTGAGGCTGTGGCCACTCGTGGATGGGGCAGCCAGTTCTCTGTCCGAGGAGCCAGACCTGACGGGGCTTCACTCAGTTTTCTCCCCCAGGCTTTAGCCCGTACCCTTCTCCTGCCCCTCCCACCTCCCCACACACCAGAGCAAAAGATGAAGCTGGGCTTCCTGCTGGTACGGAAGATGTCAGAGCCGGTCTGGGCTTCCGCAGATGAGGCCAGATGGGGCGGGCTGTATGGTGACCTGATTGACCGGGTGCTACTACCCTCCTTCTGGTCCCTGCCCTCACTTCTGATGCCTTCGTGTGCCTCTCAGTCGCAGGTGGACACGGCAGACATGATCAGGCATTTTGCCTAGGTGAGCCAAGTCTCCAGAAAGGCTCGGATGGGCCCTATGTGGTGGCTAATTCCTATAATTCCAGCACTTTAGGAGGCCGAGGTGGGCGGATCACAAGGTCAGGAGTTCAGGACCATCCTGGCCAACATGGAAAACCACATCTCTATTAAAAATCCAAAAAAAAAAAATTAGCTGGGCATGGTTGTACACGCCTGTTGTCCCAGCTCCTCGGGAGGCTGAGGCAGGAGAATCGATTGAACCCAGGAGGCAGAGGTTGCGGTGAGCTGAGATCTCGCCATCGCACTCCAGCCTGGTGACAGAGCGAGACTCAGTCTCAAAAAAAAAAAAAAAGGAAAGACTTGGGTGGCTGGGAGGCCTCAGGTGAACCAGCGCAAGGGAGCTCAGAGTCCCAGTCACTCTGGGCAGCGTGGCTGCGGCCTCCCTGGGCCTCAGTGGAGCTGGTGCCACCTAGGGAAGCCCGCACTGACCAGGGATCCATGGGTTTACTCAAGGCTGTTGGGGAAGGATGTGGGCATCGTGACTGTCATGGGTAGAGAAGCGCTCCTGTGAGTGTCTGGCTAACCCCTTGCTCCTGGGCAGCGCCCCCTGGGCAGCAGCAGAGGTTTAATGGATCGAGATTACGGGGACCAAAGACGCGTGTAATTAAGCCAGTTATTTATCTGGCTGGGAGCATCTACTCCCCACAGCCGCAATTGACTTTCTCACTTGTGGTTACCCCTCAGTGTGCATTACCTCGGGCCCCAAATAGCCATGCGTCGTCTTTCTGAGTGCGTGTCTCCCATGAAGGCGAGGTTTTAGAAGGAAGACCGCTCTGGGAGTTTTGGGCTCAGGGTGGCGGTGTGTTCGCCGCAAGGGTGCCCCCTGGAGTTGCTCTGTGCCATGGCGCCCACGGGGCCCTCTTTGGGAAGCGTGTCTGGCTTCTGCAGAGGAACGTAGAACCCTCATCCTGGGGTCTCCCCAGTGAAAAGAAAGTCCATTGGTCCTGCTGGGTTCATAGCCATCAGATTTTTTCATGTGGTCTAGAAGGAATGGAAGAGAGAGGCTGGCATGCTGGCTCACACCTGCAATCCCAGCACTCTGGGAGGCCAAGGCAGGTGGATCATCTGAGGTCAGGAGTTCGAGACCAGCCTGGCCAACATGGTGAAACCCCATCTCTACTAAAAACACAAAAATTAGCCAGTTGCGGTGGTGGCTGCCTGTAATCCCAGCTACTCGGGAGGCTGAGACAGGAGAATCGTTTGAACCGGGGAGGTGGAGGTTGCGGTGAGCCAAGATTGTGCCATTGCACTCCAGCCAGAGGAACAAGAGCGAACTCCATCTCAAAAAAAAAAAGGGAAGTGAAAACATAACATTTAATCAGCCATATGCTGTGCTAGGTGTTTTTTGTTTGTTTGTTTGTTTGTTTGTTTTTGAGATGGAATCTTTCTCTGTCGCCCAGGCTGTAGTGCAGAAGCAGAATCTTGGCTCACTGCAAAATCCGCCTCCTGGGTTTGAGAGATTCTCCTGCCTCAGCATCCCAAGTAGCTGGGATTACGGGCACGTGCAACCACACCCAGCTGATTTTTGTATTTTTAGTAGAGACAGGGTTTCAGCATGTGGGCCAGGCTGGTCTCAAACTCCTCAAGCCTCAAGTAATCTGCCTGCCTCGGGCTCTCGAAGTGCTGGGTTTGCAGGTGTGAGCCACAGCGCCCTGGTGCTAGGTACTTTCTGTACATTATCCTAACAACCCAAAAAGGGTAACTGTTGTCATCCACCTGTTCTATGGATGAGGAAACTGAGGCTCTGAGAGGTTATTGCTGAGGGTCTTGCAGTTCTAACTGCATCAAATCTCATCTCTCCCTGACTCTAGAGCCCATTCAGCTTGCAACAACAGTCACAAGGATAGCCAGTACCAACCGAGTACCTGCAGACAATAGTAACAATTGAG